ATACAGATCTGTCAATGTGGACATACGTGGAACTGAACAGAGTGGTATATTTAAAACAAACTGAAGTACTTCATGTCACGACATTATTAGAAACCTCAAAATACACAATACAGCCAGGTGGATTTCAACAGCAACATACAATTAAGTTACACAAGCTGAGACATCCAGTTGATAGCAGAGTTTCCATCTCAAAGTTATGGCACGGTTTTCAGATTGCCCGACTTCTTCTTCTTCAGCCTTTCTATCCCCCAATGGAGAACAGGCCCTCAATCAACTCACGCCAAGTCGTTCTATCCTTCGCCATTACAAGAAGCTCTCCCCATGTCCTCCCCATCTTTCTATCTTTATTCTCCAGCTCTTTTCTCTATGTGTTTTTTTTTTAATGCCTACGCCCCTGTGGGTTACAATGCAAAGACATTCTAGTTATGCTGTTCTCCTGTTTTCTCAGTGTGTTCTTCTCTGTTTAATGCTCCATGTAAATGCCACCCAAGTTCACTTTCCATTTCGACATTAGTCCCCACAACCAGCCAATCAAAAGTCAGCTTCATTTTCATGGCAAATATTTACAAAAGACAGAATATTATTTACACTACTGAATTAAACAGAAGACTTCGCTTGTGGAAATATTACAGTACACCAGAAATCAATTAACCCGAAAACAGTTTGCTAGTGAAAATGGAGAAAAACATGTGCTTGGTAAAAATAGGGTCGCTTTACATTTATGATGTCTACTTTGAGATCTACTTCAAAGTGAAAAATAATCTCAGTTTAAACATCCCATGTTTCAGCTAACAAGGAGTACGGGTTGATTCCTGCTATCATGCTCTCTTAACGAAGAGATCGATGTTAGGGATATATTGTCTCCTTGTGTTTAAATGTTAAAGCCAAAACTTTCTTTTTAAATAATTTATTTCATGGAAAATATTTTAAAATTAACGAAGACCTCTTTTTTGTCTTCTTCTTCTTCTTCTTCTACTAATACTACTACTACTTCTTCTTCTTCTTCTTCTTTTTCTTCTTCTTCTTCTTCTTCCTCCTCCTCCTCCTCCTCTTATTCTTTTTCTTCTTCTTTTTCTTCTTCTTCTTCTTCTTCTTCTTCTTCTTCTTCTTCTTCTTCTTAATCTTCTTCTTCTTTTTCTTCTTTTTCTTGCCAACCCCCTCCCCTTTCCAATACAGGGGCATATTCTGACCAACTGGAAGCTTACAGCAAATATGAATATTCATATATCAAATTTTCCTATAGCTACAGTGCCATCTCTTAGGCACAGAAGCTCAATAACTAAACGTTTGCCTGCTGTCACAGCAGGCAAATGGTGAATCCCTATTTATTCATCCATTGTTCTGTTGTGTCATTATATGTCATATAGGGCTCGCAATCTGTTCATCGATGCTATTCTGTCTCGTGCAATCACTTCGATACTAAGGGTGGAATCTAGTCCAGCACCCTTGGCCTCTATCATGGATGTTCGACATAGGTTTCTCTTTATCTGTCCTCGTTGCCTATGTCCATCTATTTCCCATTTCTGTGAATGTTTGGTGATTTTCTTTTCTTCTCTTCTCAGAATGCTGGATCTCCAGGCCGGCTGCTATTATTATTATTATTATTATTATTTTTTTTTAATAATTGATCTTCCAGATATCCTAGCCTAGCCTATAACAAGTATACGAGTACATATTGACCATGGCCATTGAGTTAACCGAATGTGTCGATTCCTCCCCACCAAATATATGGTTGACACATTCTGTTTCCCAGGACAGCTGTTATCGAGTTTGCTCTCTAGACAGTTGCAGTCCCCTGCTGACCAGATTATGTCTTCCCGAGTGGACCGCCGCCATCAAAACATTGCGAAGGCAGCGTGGTCGAGGCTGCCAAAACTATCAGTCATTATCCCACCCCGACAATGCAAGCTGCTCTCACGAAAAACACATAGTATCCTGCGTTGGAAATTCACACAAAATAGCAGTTCATGATTACGAAACAGAATAATCCGACATAATTGACAGCTAGCGAAAATAAACACAGATGCTGTCCGCCATTTTGAAAACGGAAGTCCCCGAGTACACATTAAAAGAAGTCAAGGTGGCTGACACGATGACCATATCGCTTTTTCAAGTGCTGAATGGTCCTTAAATTCTAAATTATTTATACATACCCGTGCGTCATGAGGTAACAAGGATTCTGTAGAAGCAACTTCACCATGGGGGCATACAAACTATTTACTTTCAGCCACGTACACACAACAAAACTAGTAAATGATGACACTGCTCTACAGCACTGAACAGATATAAAACCATATTCATTATTAGAGAAACAGGAACTCGTTGATTTATTTATACATCTGACTGTTTACTGATCTTCAGTTCCCTGCGGCTCGCTTCCTGTATATTTTTGTGTGTGTGTGTGTGCGTGCGTCAGTGCGTGTGTGTGTGTGTGTATTGTATGTCTAGCATCGTTTGGTGGTGTGCTGGGTCGAGCTGTTGGCTATGTGTTGTGACAAGATGTGTGCTGTGTCTAGACGGTGCTGTTCTGTGTGCAGTGTCAGGTCATGTGCTATGTCTGGCAGTGGGCTGCCTCTAACTGCATGCGGTGTCTTGATGTGTGTTGTGTCCAGCTGTGGGCTTTATCTCGCAGTGTCTAGCTATGTGTTGTGTCTAAGAGTCTCTGTCTGTGTGCTGAGATTAACTGTATGCTGTGACAAGTACTGTGTTGTGTCTAACAGTATTTATCAGTTTGCTATATCTAGCCCATTGTGCACGCTACAAAGTCAAAGAAAAAGCAGAGTGTAAATTTAACTTTGTTGGACCCTTGTCCACGCCTTTCTGGTGCACTGGGTATATAGGGCTAGACTTATATTTTGTAGACCAAACGGCACTTGGTGGCTGATGTAGTCAGCATCACACCGGCCGCCTTTTCTTCCCAGGACTATACTTGGTACCCACTCAAGGTTAGTCCACCTGGGAACCAAGGCCATTAAAAAACTGTTCAGGCTCTTGTCAGGAACCGAACTCCCCACCTTCCCATCAGCAGCCGAGCGTCTAGACCACGGCGGCTTCCAGATATAACTATAAAATCGTGTGAATTTGTTTTCACTGTCCTTGAATTAATAAAGAGAAGCATTTTTAAACAATTGAAATCGTATACATTTTTTTAATGCTTAACGAAAGGTGCACAAAACGATATTAATTGGCCTAAATAGGCAATGTAAAGTATAGCACAGTAAGTAAAAGAAAACAGAGGCAGAAATGGGTAATGGGAGATCAAAAATTAGAGAACAAAAATGACGGGAAAACAACATTGAGAACAAGGAGAAAGAATACAAATTAAATATATCACACTTTTATAAAACGAAATTAAAAGCGGAAATGGGTAATTGTGGATAAATTTTAAAAAAAAGAGAAGAAAGTGAAGGAAACACAACCTGGAAAATCATGAATAAATACTTCAAAATTGATTAATAATAACAAAGAAAGCCGTTATTACGCCTTCAGTGGCAGAAATCTGTAACTTTAACTCTTTTAATGTTACTTATTAGTTGGCAAACAACGGACACATAAATATTCTAACAAATTATAATCTGAAGAAGAAAAAAGTTCAAATCATTTATATCTGTGAACCTGAACGCCGCCTTGGAAACCGTACTAAGAGGCTGTCAGAATAAACGGACAATCACGGCACCAAGATGACAACACGAAGACGTCAGCATCTTCACCAGAAGCAGACTGTAGTCATGCAGTAGAAATTTCTTTAGAGGAAAGCGGCCGCAGCTGGGATCGAACCCAGCATGTTTGATTTTCAAAGTAAATTCGCATACCACAGACGCCGACAAAAACACCTTAAAAAGCTTCATTTCATTCAAGCCACTCTTTTATTTCAGCGAGAATTGAATTCTCCTTGGTCTAGTCAGGGCGACTCTCAATGTCGGGTCTGATAATTAATTGTATTTGGGAAGAAGCTTTTGATCCTGTGTGGACATTTGTTTCAGGGAAAGTGCAGATAAAACTCTTCCCGGTGAGAGGTCATTCGAAGGGCGTGGGGTAGAACCATTTCCAACGATGCTGATGATAAGACAATATAGAATTAATATTAACATGTAAATCACTTATGAAAACAATAAACAGATGCGTGCGTGAACAACATAAGCTAAAGGCATATTAAAGAACAATTGCTTGACTTTGTCTCTAGAGACATGATCTTGGACAGCACGCAAAAATCACCTGCGTTTAACCAGCAGAACATGATAGTGATTATCATTTTAAAGCCTCTTGAGTCTCATAGAAACGCGCAATTTATATTGAGATATAGATTAACTTTAGTGGGTACCAGGTGTAGTCCTGGAAAGTAAAGGTGGTTGGCGTGATACTGACTACATTACTCACCAAGTGCCGATTGGTCTATAAAATATAGGTGCAGCCCTATATGCCCAATACACCTTAAGGCGGGGAAAAGGTTCTTTACTTTTCACTTTTACTTATACGTTAACATCTGTGACGAAAACAACTAAGTGAGTGAAGAAAAGTAAAAAAAAAAACATTCAATTCAGTTCAGTGTTAAACCACTTTCAACAGCTTTCTTAATGAGTCTTCATATTTTATAGTTGTGGTACAAAATCTAGGAGATCTTTCGTTGGGTAGTTCAGGTCATATAATGTCAGACTCATATGTCTATAGACCAAACGATCCTCGATGGGTGATACTGCCAATATCACACCGGCTGCAATTTGGCGAAGTAGCTAAGCAGTTTGCCTTACGCTCCGAATGCCATTGGTCTGTCCGCCAGATGCGTCGTTCGGTTCCCGCGTGGAGTTTTTACTGAGATCCATGGGAATCCTATTTAAAGCTACGGAGTTCATACTTTGTGCGACGCTCTTGTCAAGGGTCAGGGTAGACCAGACAATGTGGGATAACACCCAATGTAAATAAAGCCTATCTTCTCGACTTTAACTTCAGCCCTAATATTTCAAAAAGTTAACTTTTATCATTTTTATTTCTATTTCTTTCAGTCGTTACATTGGTCTGATCTCATCGCTAGCTCAGACAAACAACAGAACAGTCAAACCGCCAACATCTCCGACACCGAGAGAAAAAGAAGAGAGGCAGTCTGGGAGCTGTTCAAATCCGAGTGCGTCTTTCTTATTGATCATCTGATGGTGCTCAAACACGTGAGTGGGTTTGATGTCTGAGAGCAAGTCAGAGAATGTGCGTGATGCCTAGGGGCGCATACATTGCTCTGGGGCCTCAGTCTGGGGATTAAGCCTTATTACAAATTGTGTGCCTTTAAATGGGGTGGGGTTAAATGGAGTTAAACATTGATGAAGTGATTGATGGTGGTGGTGATGTGCTGAGTGGCAGTTACATTTAATACATTTGAAATAAAATCATCTGCATAAACAAAACAAAACAAAATATTGACAAGAAAACTTCGTTGCTTGGTTGGGGTAGAAATAAAAAAAATTACAAATTATGAGATAACTGAAACACCCTCACCCATATTCCCCAATTGTTTGGTTGGGAGGGTGGATGGGGGGCGGGGGGTCAGTTTACTAAGGACCCCGGGTTATGGCGCCCATAGTGGTGTCACTACAAGAGAAACCCTTTCATCTAAATATCAGTAACTGTAGTATGTCGTCAGTTTGCGTAAGATCAAATGGTTTTTCATATAGCCTGACTTCCTCCCCACTTAGAAGCCCTCGAACAAGATAGTAAACCTATCATAGTCAACATTTAACACAGTAATGAATCTGACCAAACAACACCACATTCACAAACAATATATCCTAAAAGAACTGAAAAATATTGAACACTGACAACTCTGAATCCAGTATAAAAAAATATATAATGTAATAAGTACAACACAGGTAAAGACTCTCAGAGGGAAATTAATGTAGAGGACAAATCAAATGACGGTACTGAATCAAAACTGAACTATTCCAGAAAGACTCCTGGGCTGCCTACAACACTTCACATCTTATCACGGCAAGACCTTGTTGTGACGTAGGTAAAAGTGGGCACTAAGTGTCTTGGGTGGCCGCAGTTATGTTGAGACCCCCTTGAACCTCTCCACAAGTCGTAGTCCGGATTTTAACAGGAGCAGCGCTGGACAAGAAGTTAGGCATCAATTATTGTGACAGAGTGTTCTCCGGTACTATGCACTAACAATTAAATGTGCAGAAAGCATTTATTTTTCGTGTTGAAAAATAGGAAAAAGGTCCCCTTTATAAATTACTAATGTCAACAATAAACACAACAGCTTGCAACACTCTGTTTGGGTTTGGCAGAAAAGCAGATCATGGACCTGATTGGTATAAACTGCCATATGTCGAGTGTGACACTAATTGTCATCTCCAGCTGCTTCACCTAAAAGACTGGTTTCATGAAAACATAGGTACTGCTGTATTGTACTTAGGTAGGTGCTGTTGGCTACTGACATGAGATGCAGTTGTAAGACAGTGGTATGCTATACTTAGTGATTCTGGCTACGCCTCCAGAGAGGTCAGCATACATCCTGTGAACAAAGGGAAAAAGAATTAGCTAACCACTAAACACTGTACCCTGTTCACTCTCATTTCCCAATGCAACATTAGTCAAATGCTCAGATGATAGTATTGGGCCTGTACAGATCCGACAGGTATATATACATTTCCCAGGGTCTCTTAGCAGCAAGGATTGATAGTGATATATTCTGTCGAATACTTCTGCACTAGTGACAGCGACAAAATGCCTATCCAGCCAAAAAAGGCGACAATCATTCCTCTTCCTTTGTAGGGTACGTATACTAATACAGGAATACATGAATACATAAGTAGGAAGAGCTTTGAAGTATCAGAAACACGATACGTAATTTGCTTCACCAACGACAGCCATTCCGTGTTTACAGTGACCCGGGCGGAAGCTACGTCATTCTGCCAAGACTAGCATTGCCCAAATTGTGATCTAGTCAACCCGGTCTGTCGGTTTATCCTACCTTTAATTGTGTACACATGCATAAGACATGGTCAACTCGTGTTATAAAGAAAGGATACATCAAGTCCAGTCGGTCTGGACGATCCATTGAATGAGTATAAGGAGATAACGCCCCCCCCCCCCAAATCGGCTTATAGGTGAACGCTCTGGACTCACGCGTTTCTGCAGTTTAAATCGTCTAACGGCTATGTGCCGTTGCTTCACATAGCTATACCTGTCTTACACTTACAGCAGGGCAGAGTACTACAGTTATAATAATCAACAATGTACTTACCCATGCTCATTAGAAGTTCCCGGGTGAAATGAAGACTTCCAAAGAAGGTACCGAGCTACTTTCAAGACAAGAGATAAAACCCACCTGTATGCTCTGGAGACTAAGCCACAAATGAATCTATAAGTTCAAATCCGCCCGAATTAGAAGCGGGAAGATTTCTTCCGCCAAAAGTAGCGGTGCTTCGGCTAAGGCCTTTGGCTTAAATAGACTTAGAAATTACTTACTAATGTGAATTCAAATCGTAACTCACTTCCACTCGAATTAGGATCGAATTGAGTACTTTTCCTTACATCTAGACACATACTTATCAAAGAAGGACTATATACTTGTGGAGGAAGAGTCCATATTTGAAATAAGATAACTTTAATGGAGGGGTGCAAGATGTGGGCACGTTCAACACTAAAGGGGTTTTCTGCTGTCATGCGACACTATGTATGTATGTATGTATGTATGTATGTATGTATGTATGTATGTATGTATGTATGTATGTATGTATGTATGTATGTATGTATGTATGTATGTATGTATGTATGTATGTATGTATGTATGTATGTATGTATGTATGTATGTATGTATGTATGTATGTATGTATGGATGGATGGATGGATGGATGGATGGATGGATGGATGGATGGATGGATGGATGGATGGATGGATGGATGGATGGATGGATGGATGGATGGATGGATGGATGGATGGATGGATGGATGGATGGATGAATGGATGGATGGATGGGTGGGTGGGTGGGTCAATGGATGGATGGATGGATGGATGGATGGATGGATGGATGGATGGATGGATGGATGGATGGATGGATGGATGGATGGATGGATGGCATGGATGGATGGATGGATGGATGGATGGATGGATGGATGGATGGATGGATGGATGGATGGATGGATGGATGGATGGATGGATGGATGGATGGATAGATGGATGCATGCATGCATGCATGCTTGATTTGACGTATTTTCCCCCTGTGACTAAATCTGCCCATTTAAGGAATTATTGTTTTTGCACGTTATATATTTTCTTCTTCTTCTTTATGTACACCGGCTGTAACTTCCGGCGGAAATTTCTGATTGTTCGTCCTCTTAAAAAGAAAGCTCCCAATTAGTTCACTCCTACGACATGATTTTGGGTAGGCAGTAGGTCTTTTTTTTTTTCTCACAGTAGGACTCCAGAATCAACACAGAGAGCGCTCTATATGTGATAGAAGACACTATTTTCTCATTGAAACTCGAAAGTCATTCCAGCCTCTACCCGCCCTAACCACCACAGCCACCTAGCTATAACGACTCTCTAGATTTTAATGCAGTTAAACAGACATCCAACTTTGTTGGGCATTTGCAGACAAAATAATGCTATTAAAATAAAAGTCTTCGGCCTCAGCTGTACTTTAATTTCAAATATTTCACCCACTTCAGACAGTGTGGGTACTTGTAGTATGCACATAACTATCGTTTTACATGCTACGCAATTACTCACTAAGCTAGGTAAATTATTTTGCTCTCTGAAGGAGGAAACTGGGCACAAACGTGCAGTTTTTCAGCGTGGTAGAGTTCGTTCTTGAATCCTTACTTAATTATTTAATTGTCGCTCCGTGTCTAGGTCCCCACGTTTATTGTTCTTAGTCAACACTGTACTTGATTACCTCTTGTATTTGCTGCTAGACTAGCTATTAACTGATTATATAATTTTAGGATTCCGCAGAAAAACAATTTTCAATTTTATGTTCATTTTCAAAAATTTTTGCTGCTTTCCATAATATGAATAACTAGGGACGAATATTTATGGGAAGTAACTAACATCCCACAGCTTGAAAAATTACCTCTTGTTAAAACCCGAAATGGATCTAATCAAGACAGGCGCCTCATTGTGGGAATGCCAGCGGGACGGAGTCTGACTTTTATTAATAATTTTCCTTGTCGACTGAATATTTAATGGATTCTTTAATATCTCTGCGTGACGAGTGTATTCACTACCGTCGTTACTGCTCTTCGTCCCATAAAACCTCAAACAGTACACATGTGCACTACAAAAAAATATAAAAGCTGTTTATTACCTAACTTAAAGGTATACAAATCATTTGCATAACCCGCCATCCTGTTGTGGGATGCAATTTTTAGTTATTTTGAAGCCTCACTCTGGCTTTTGCCGGGGGCCCTAAATATAGCCGAACCTTAAATATGGCCTAACGGCTGAACGTGGTTTCCGTGACCTCTTCACGGGTGATCCTCATCTGCATAGTGCGACTTTATCGCTTGTATGATGTCCTGATGGGGTACAACGTATCTACTTACCTAAAAGGTTCTTTTAAATTATATATATATATATATATATATATATATATATATATATATATATATATATATATACAGGGTTATTACGCCCGTGTGGGTATTAATAATTTTACGCTCACTCTTTCCTCATCTAACGTCAGCATAGCTATTCATTTACAATGTTGGTCGTTATTTACAAATGAAGGACACTCAGAACCATTCCCCATAAAATGTGGAGTGCGGCAAGGCTGAGTCCTATATCCCCTACTCCTAACTTACAATGATAACATCAGTAAGGAAACCAACCTAAGAAGTTCTACATAACACCATTCAGAAAAGGACCCTAATCTAATTTCAGCAAAGAACTACTACTTGCCGACGACTAAGCCCTAATTGCTGATTCAGAAACTGAACTGCAAGACCATATAAATTATTTAAACCAAATTTGCAAAGAGCATAACATGAAAATTAACGCCAACCAACAATAGAGCAAACAAAAAACAAAACAAAAAAGACACGATTATCAGAATAGCCAAAGTAGACAAAACAATAATTATCCAGCGTGCAGAAAACGCTTTCAAACACAAAAAAAAAACTTCAAATAGTTAGGAATCATAATATCATCAGCCGGTAAAACAGAAGATGAGATCCATGACTTATGTAACAGAGCAACCCAACTCATTGGACAAATGGCACCAATACTAAGAAACAAGCATGTATCAGTAGAAACCAAAAGAGCATTCTGTGACACGATCTTCTTGCCAATCCTGTATTGCCAGTGTCAGGCCAGGACAATGGTAGAAAAGGAGAAAAGAAAAATTAAAACAGCTGAAGTAAGATTCCTACAAAATTATCTTAATATAACAATAAGAGATAAGATCAGGAATCTTGAAATCCGAAGGTGGATGTGGGCAAGAGCAGCTCTGGATTTCATTAGAGGACAACAGGTTAAATGGTTTGGCCATTTAACGCAGAAGTCAGCAACCAGTGCACTACAACTAATAACGTTGTACAGACCAGACGAGAGGCGAAAAAGAGACTTCTGATGCAAATGATGAACAGAGGGAATCACAGAGTCAATGGGAATCACCATTTACGAAGAGTGCAAGCGGGCACTTACCCGTAAATTATACTTCACCTCGACACCTCAAGGTATCAAAGGATCAAGATGAGAGGAAATTAGATGATAGATATCGTTTTTAAAAATGCTGTGAATTATTAGAATTTAGCTCAATACACAACGTATAAAATTCAAACCTTCATAAAGTTTTTCTCCAGTATAAAATTTTTATTTTTATGTGTGAATATTAAAACGCAGAAATCTTTGAACTTAAAACCCTTCTTTAGCTGCAAGTCTAACGATTATAAACTAGTCATTATTGGATATGGATAGCATATAATCTTTAATGACTGACACACATTTCGAGGAAATAACTTCATTATCTATTTGTACGCTCACTGACTTTCCATATAATGTATTAAATCTGTATAATTTTATGTTGCTGATTACGTCTGAATACGATCTTTTTCCAGAGAGAGCAAGCCATGCAATATGGTCAACCAGAGGAAGAAAAAATCAAACTGCAAATAATTCCAAACACATCTTGAAATTGTAGTTTTTTACAGAGCGAAAATGTTTTAGACAGCATAGAATGCTAGACCTATAGAAGCTAGCTGAACAATCGTTTGCCATCGCTGTTCGTTTCGTTTCCTGCGTTTTCCAATGTTGGCAAGCAGTCTCTTTAAGGGGCAGAAGGAAGAACTGTAATGTTCCAGGAAATGCGAACAACTTTGAAGTAAGAACGCGGCACTCCCAGCTGCAACTGGTTGCGAGCAGTGTTGCCACTTTGGATGTTTTACATATAGATTTAGATGTTTTTATATATATATAATATTTTTTTTATTATTGTTCCAGTGTTTCATGGAACCACTAAAGAAAGTCCAAGTTGAAGGGAGCCTTATGTACGCCGAACCTCAGGATTTGTTTGGTAACTTGGATGAGTTGTCATATGTAGGTAGCCTTTTATCGTTATGAAAGAAATACTTGTAGTCCTGAAGAGCCTACCACTTGTTACTTAGCCCATCCTACCGTCCGTCCGTCCGTGCGTCTGTCTGTCTGTCTGTCTGTCTGTCTGTCTGTCTGTCTGTCTGTCTGTCTGTCTGTCTGTCTGTCTGTCTGTCTGTCTGTCTGTCTGTCTGTCTGTCTGTCTGTCTGTCTGTCTGTCTGTCTGTCTGTCTGTCTGTCTGTCTGTCTGTCTGTCTGTCTGTCTGTCTGTCCGTCCGTCCGTCCGTCCGTCCGTCCGTCCGTCCGTCCGTCCGTCCGTCTTCCGTCTGTCTGTCTGTCTGTCTGTCTGTCTGTCTGTCTGTCTGTCTGTCTGTCTGTCTGTCTGTCTGTCTGTCTGTCTGTCTGTCTGTCTGTCTGTCTGTCTGTCTGTCTGTCTGTCTGTCTGTCTGTCTGTCTGTCTGTCTGTCTGTCTGTCTGTCTGTCTGTCTGTCTGTCTGCCCGCAGCTAACTGTGACACTTTATTTCGCAAAAATGTTTTTATTTCTTGACCTCTGTAGCTGTAACATAGTCTCTAGAATTCTAAGATAAAGACGTAAACTCCTTGCAAATACATGGCCTATTATTACACTGTGAGATGTACTGTTTGTTAGCAAACTAGCTAAATAACCAAACACTTAACTTGTCTTCTAATAAGGCCAATCGCTTCTAGTATCCCAATCTTATTAGGGATTTCCTTATTTGTGATCGCCTCTTTTTCTCAGATTTTTAGTGTTTATTTCAGGAAATCCGGAAGAGTTGTGATTTGTTTCTTCTTTTCATGCCATTCACCCAAGTTTGGTATCGATTATTAGTGTCGCATTTATAAGTATATTTCAAGATCTTAACCCCCATTTAGATAAATTCATGGAACTGGGAGTTGCCAAAGAATTACTACACACAACCTAATCGGAGATAATACAAGACGAAGATATAATCAGACTATAACTGTATTATTAGTTTTAGAACTCGATCTTGGTACTATATATATTGGGATTATGTTTATGGAAATAGCTGAAGTGCTGTGATGTCATCATCATCATCACCAGGTGCCTTGCCGGCTGGCATGGGCGATCATACCTCTCCATAACCTCCGATCTCCTGCAGCATGTATCAGTTCGTGTCCTGACACACATCAACGCAATGCAACAAGACTGTCAAGTATCTTCTTTTGTTGTCTTCCTCTATCCCTCCTTCCACAGATCTTTCTAGTGGTCACAACATGTTCTATTTTCCCTCTTCTTATGTCATGGCCGAAAAATGATGACTGTCTCCTTCTGATGTCTGTGATAAGTTGTCTTCGGGCTCCTGCCATACATGTCATACTTCGTTGAAATAAAATATGTTTCACTATGTGTTAAACAGGTTAGCTACACATTCTGTAAGGACTTTATTGCTGCTCTACTGAAAGATATGAGTATCACCGACTTTGGACGAACGAATGTTTTATTGCAGGCATTTCAGCGGGTAAGTGTTTCTATAATGATGTATGCAGTAAGTAAATATGTTGAAAAATAGTTGAAATACTGCACTTTAAAACAAATTTTCAACAAACCCAATTTTATTTTCATTCAGAATTAGCACATCAGCACAGCAGCATACGAGCAGCAGGAACATATGGGATTGTGAGCTGAAATGCTGTAGAATGATTCCCATAAAGATCTGAACTTCAAGCAAGATTGGCTAGTAAACAACATTTTGTCTCAAAAATTGAAATACTTTAGCCAAATCAAGAGCCATGGTGGATTTTGAAGAACAGTAGCGGAGAGCATGGCACCTGGTAAGATGTACAGGGATCAACCAGCATGAAGATTCGAAACTCTAGACACAAAATTAGACAGTTTTGAAAATAAATGCCTTAGAAGAATACTAAATTTCAAATGGTCAGATTTCCGAACCAATACACAAATAAGGCAAGAATCCAGGCAAGAGTATGTGTCTAATTTTATACGAAAACGCCGCTGGAACTATGTCGGCCACGTCCTTAGAATGGATAAATCAAGACTTCCTTACCAAGCCCTCATTTGGACACCACAGGGGAAAAGATCTCGTGGAAGACCAAGGGAAACCCTACGTAGAACTATCATCAGGGAAGGCTCGCTCATGGGCCACTCAAACATCCAAGACCTACAACGGATTGCAACGGACCGCCGTGCATGGAGAGTCACGACCTCTGCCCTATGTGCCGCACTCGACACAAGAGGAAAGACTAACTAACTAACTAATCTGGTAGAAACGTGCACGTGAGAGATGGCGAGAGAGAAGTTCCTTCAGGCGAGCTGTGATGAGAGTGAGTGACATTCTGTAATGGACCTGCTATATGAGGATGGGAGCTTCGTTTCTCTCACCAGGATATACACATGCAGACATAGCTGAGTAAAACCAGCGGACCAGTTGGCACCTGATCAGCTAAGTGACACCACAAGCGTGAAAAAAGAGTGAGCGTTGCTGGTGATATATTGATCCCCCCCCCCGCACACACACCCACACGCACGCACGCGCGCGCACACACACACACACACAGTGAGATAGAGAGAGTGAGAGAAAGAGAGAGATAAATAGAACGATGCAGTGAATCAAGTAATGACTAAATCTTCAGCCTTAATCAGACTGCAATAGAAAATGTCCAATCACATGAGATAATGTCAGAAAAGAGCGGTAAGATGGTTTTTTTAAAACAGGGGGGGGGGGGGCTTGGGGGGGCGAGAAGTATATTAAACTGATTTAGTTACTGATGGTCACTTTACCACGACATGCTGGGAGAGTATGCTGAGGAAAGGTTGCAAACACTCGTCACATGAAAGAAACAGACCAATATATTTAGACAGCGTACCGGACACAACAGACTTTGCAGCCATATGTATAGGAAATTTAAGACTAGGGAATCAGAAAGTCACCAGTGTAGGCAGATACCAGAGAATACTGAACATCAGCTACAGACATGCTCGCTATCTGCAGTAGAATTCCAGCCTTGGCCAGTTGGTCGTCCGATGAAAATCAAGCTGTATGAAACAGTGGAAATTATGCTTGGCACCACATACTTCACTTATCTGAAAACCACCTTCCAGCAGAAACAAACACTTATGGTCATTATGGTTAGATGCGCAGTGAGAATGATCTAATTAATAGTTTTCAACTACTTGCATTTTTTTTTCTTTCTCTTCTAAAGTTTTCTGCACATTCCAGAGATGGCGCTGTCTATCATTCCTACTGTCTCAACTATACAAATGCGCTAATATATTTGGAGAAGTTGAGAGCAAATCCGGAATTTGCAGAGTTTGAAAAGGTATGAATATTTGAGAAATTTACATTGTTAATTCGCATGGCACTATTATATAGCTATGTTCTTAACAAATGCCAAATAATCATCCAAGTATAAAAATTGCAAAACAATGTTCGCTCTTCTTTTTCAGTTATGATTGTTTTGTTATGTTTATTGTTTTATTATTTATTATTGTGTTTGGTATTTTTATTGTTTTATACAATTTTGTTAACATTATTTTTCTTGTTAACCGTATTTATATAAATATTATATTTTCATTGAGTTATAGTACTACCAATGTTCTTGGCACGGTATATAACTATATATATTTTTAGAATGAAATTTTTCGTTATTTGAAGCCCTACTCTGGCTCTTGCCAAGGGCCGCAATATAGCCCGGTCATAAACATGGCCCCTAAAGGCTGAACGCGGTTTCTGGGACCTCTCCACGGTGATCCTCATCCACATGGTGGCACATTGTGTCATCGGGTGTTTATCGCTTGTGTGATGTCCTGGTGGGGTAGAAAGTCAGTCAGTCAGTCTGAGTTATAGTACTATGCAAAGCTTTTTTCCTAGAAAATAAGGTGGCGGTAATCACCATAAGGTGTCCAAAAAGGTGCCGCTACTCATGACAAAGTGTCTGTTTCAGTACTGCTGAAAAAAAGATGCCGATACTAAAGATGCCGGTACTGTGTACCATTGGGTGGCACCTGAGAAAAAGAGCTCTATCATTGTATAAAGAGTATACGAATGTTTCATAAATATTTTATGGACATGCTCATAGAATAAACAATTGTGTCAATACATTTGCTATGTATTTGTCATCGACACAGATCGTTTAGATTATGGTCATGTTTACTGGAATACATGGGCGTCACCGTGATGCAGCGTCTATATGCTAGCCTGCTAATCGGAAGGTTCTTAGCCGCTCTGCGACTTCTTCATTACCCCTTAAACATGACCCTTTAAACGTGTCTACTGATTACAGTGGTGTGAGCAGGATCCTCGATGTAAGAGACTCCAGCTGACAGATCTTCTCGTAGCACCCATGCAGCACTGTACAAAACTGCCACTACTTCTGCACAATGTCAGGAAGTACACAGCAGACGAGGATGAGAGGCAGCAAGTCACGGAGAGCATTGAGAAAGTGGAAACGTCTCTTAGTAAGTGTCCGCAATCTGCAAGGTGTTTGTTACAATTCTTATTGTATTTTATATTTATAAGTAATGTTTTCAACATGTTTAATTTGGTATATTCAAGCCATTTTGTTTGGTAGATTATTTAGTTTAGGGCTCTGCAATCTCATCACTTGATCAACTAATTAGGTGTCATCTCTACAATGAAGGTTGGCTGTAATTGCGAACAATCTGTTTCTCACTGTGGTATATGTCAGCATTGTTTTTCACTGTGATGATGATGACGTTCAACCCGACCAGGACATCACACCGAGCGATGAACACTCGGTGACACAAAGTACCACCATTCGGGTAAGGATCCCCCGGGTATAGGTCCCATAAACCCCGTTCAACACATAGGTTTGGGTTATATTAAGACCCCCGGCAACAGCCAGAGTGGGGCTTTAAAACAACAACAAAAATGGGTCCCATACTGGGACGCATTGTGTATTTCTCACTGTGGTGATGACGTAGGGGGTGGCCCAGTCGAGCTGGTGACAAGAAGGGCTAAATAAAATCTAAAATGCGACTGGAATGTTCCATGGTGTGATCGGAAAAGACATGCTCGAATAAAACCAAATACTGCAGCATAAGTCTTTATCAAAAGAGCACTAAGTACAACCCAAATTGTGATTGGAAAACAGGATAAACAACAACACACACAAGAAAACTTTCCAACGAAGTCAATTAAAGCCTTTCATATACATAAGAGTATTTTTTCCTGGTACATGTTTCTTGGCTTCATATTGAATTTGGTGTTTTAGAAGCTCTTATGTCTTGTCCTTTCAGTTTTCCCGTCACAGTTTGTGTTGTATTTTTTCCTACGTTGATAAAGATTTGGTCGAAGCGTTCAGATGCATTTGTACTCGTCTATTCCCCCCCCCCTTTTTTTCCCCGCTTTTTAGTCACATTTTATATTGCATTAAGCACTTCCTCTTACTATGGTATATGTCAATACACCGTCTCTTGCTGCTGTTGACACTGCTCCCTTATTTTATGCATGTATTTACTGTAGGTATTCATTATGCTTGATAAGATACCAGCATTTAAAGTTAAAAATTAGAGGGTCGATTTCTTTAAAACTGGTTATCCCATATAGCATGTTCTCTCTCTCTCTCTCTCTCTCTCTCTCTCTCTCTCTCTCTCTCTCTCTCTCTCTCTCTCTCTCTCTCTCTCTCTCTCTCTCTCTCTCTCTCTCTCTCTCTCTCGCTTCGCCTGACAGCTATACCCCCCTTCCTGTCCCCCAGAGAGAACATCCCATAAAGTACTATCCCCGTAGTTCAACGTGTGGATTTCCAGAAAGAAAACAACTGAACTTGTAAACTGAACGACATGCACTGAAACGAACACATAATCGTCATAGCATGAGGCAAACTGCTTGACTACTTTGCCACAGAGACTCCAACACCAGCATCTCATTATGCTGTATGCACAAATGAGAAGAAAACATTTAAAGTTTGTATGAGTTAATGGACATTCCTCTTTCCTGGGTTAATGAGCATTTCTCTTTTCCGAGGTAATGATGGTTTCTCCCTTCTGAGTTAATGACCGTTTCTCTCTGCCGAAAAAACATTTATAACAGATGATACGTTGTTTGAGTTAATGACCGTTTCTCTCTGCCGAAAAACATTTATAACAGATGATACGTTGTTTTAGTTAATGGCCGTTTCTCTTAGCCGAAAAACATTTATAACAGATGATACGTTGTTTGAGTTAATGCCCCTTTCTCTCTGCCGAAAAACATTTATAACAGATGATACGTTGTTTGAGTTAATGACCGTTTCTCTCTGCCGAAAAAAAACATTTATAACAGATGATACGTTGAGTTAATGAGCGTTTCTCTCTGTCCCAAGAACTTTTTTAAAAGATGATACATTGTTTGATTTATTTACCATTTCTCTTTTCTGAGATAATGATGGTTTCTCCTTTCTGAGTTAATGACCGTGTCTTTCTGCCGAAAAAAACATTTATAACAGATAATACGCTGTTTGAGTTAATCGCCGTTTCTGTCTGTCCCAAGAACTTTTTAATAAGAGATGATACATTGTTTGAGTTGATGGCCGTTTTTGTCGGTCCCAAGAACTTTATAAGAGATGATACATTGTTTGAGTTAATGACCATTTCTCTTTGTCCCGAGAACATCTATAAGAGTTAATAACATTGTTTTAATTAATGACTATTTCTGACTGTCCCAAGAACATTTATAAGAGATGATAATTTGTTTGAGTTAATGACTTTTTCTCTCTATCCCAGGAACATTTGTAAAAGACGATACATTGTTCGAGTTAATGACCGTTTTTCTCTGTCCCGGGAACATTTATACATTAAGTTAATGACCGTTTCTCTCTATCCCAGGAACATTTATACATTGTTTGAGTTAATGACCGTTTCTCTCTGTCTCAGGAACATTTATACATTTTTGAGTTAATGACCGTTTCTCTCTGTCCCAGGAACATTTATACATTGTTTGAGTTAATGACCGTTTCTCTCTGTCCCAGGAACATTTATACATTTTTGAGTTAATGACCGTTTCTCTCTATCCCAGGAACATTTATACATTGTTTGAGTTAATGACCGTTTCTCTCTGTCCCAGGAACATTTATACAGTGTTTGAGTTAATTACCGTTTTTCTCTCTGTTCCACAGAACAATTAGAAGAGAAGATGCGGTGGATCAAAAACTTTGAGCGTGTTCAGGAGATCCAGCGTCAGATAGTATGGCCAGCAGTGACTGAGATAGACCCTCGTTGTGTCATTCCAGAAGTAAGCATCAGGGCTTTGTTGCTCTGGTTTCTTCCTGTTTTTTCCCCCTTAAGATTGTTATTTTGTTGACAAATAGCTACAAATCCCGCAAACCATATAGCACAGTTATACTTGGACAGCACAAAACTGTTACAAAATAACCTGTAGTCCCGTGTGTCTGGGTTGTGTGATGCTATGAGCATTCTTTTGTTACAATAGGTTTGAACAACGGATCAACATAAAGGCACACAAGTAGTAACTATAAGTGCTTCTTTATTCATCTAACTCAAATCTGAGTCCGAAGAATCTCAGCACAGTGCACAGGCTCTGTAGCACCGCGAGGATCTTGAAATACTTTGTGTAGATTATTAACTCAAACTTTTACATGGGCAGCGCTGTTGGGCTTACTTTTTTTTTAATGTTCAGCTCCAAGGGATTTTTTTTTTTACGTGCACAACAATGCACACGGGCTTCTGATCTCACTACCCAGAGACCAGGGGAATTACTAGAAGTCCAAGTTCACGTGAAAAAATCCATGCCCTTAACGGGATTTGAACCCGGAACCTCTAGCACTCAAAGTGGACACCATACCTGGAGACAATGTTAAATACAAACCAGTTGACGCCGTGATAGTATGGCGGCCTGCTGGATCAAAGTCTAGAGACAATATCCACATAGAGGTTAATTGTTTACAAAAATGGACCTTCGCTTCCATGTAAACCGAACCTAAAAGTTGGTGTAATTAGCCATAATCTGAGAAGTAAATGTGGCCGTTGTGGTGTTGAACTCATCACCCATAAAGGTCAAATAGATATATAAAAATATAGTTCTAGCACTGTTTTGCCTGATGCACAAAAGGCAAGAAAGAGGTCATTTATTTACTTACTTAAAACCTGTACCTGCTTATAAACAAAATCCCAATCACTCTTGCTAGAATAAACGAATGGATGAACAAATATTTTTTATTTTGTTTACAGAAGTCACAATATTCGGCATTCAGGCCTGTTTTATTCTGGGCCCTTCCAAGCATCTGTCTTTCACACATCAGTTGTATTTTGTCTTTACAGAATATTTTGTTCATAGCAATGTATTCATACATAATAGACATATTAAGTAAACACATAGACTGCTGGATAGCTGGCGATTATACTCAGCTGTCTATAGAAAAAACATTCATTCATTTATTTACCTATCCATGCATCACTCATGCATCAATCTATCCACACATACACAACATACACATTTTATAAAATGTAAGTTATGCTCAGATTACCGTAAGTTTTACAATAAATACTCTATAATATATGTTATGCATAGAATAGTGTAATATTACACACACACAATATCTATTGAATATCTATCTATTACGCTTATCGAACTGCAAATTGTACAATACATATTGTTGTTGTTTGCCTTTACCGGCTATAAACTTCGATGGAAAGACTTGATTGTTCGTCCATTTCTGGACTTTGGCTTTGTTCTAGGGCCTGAGTTTTTGCATGTGCATCTGTTCTACAGATTTTACTTATTTGTGTGCAGATTACTGGTTCCTTGCCTCTCAGGCAGATGCACTCCCACTTCAAAGGAAGCCCCCAGTTAGTCGACTCTTACGACATGCTTCTTGGGGAGGCAGTGGGTCTGTTCTTGTTTTTCCCACAATGGGGCCCCATAATCTACATGGGGGAATACATATTGTAAAGGCGTATTTTTGTCTCAGAGTACTATACATTTTACTGTTTCTAATCTACATAATGTAATGTCTGTTGTTTTTTAGAGTCTCAAGCCAAGTTTGAGTAAACAACCATGTGAAAAATTACTAGCGTGTCCTAAGAGACAATTACTACATGAGGGTCAAATCACACTTGTTGGTGAGTAGCATGTATGATAAAACATTCAGTATTTGTTAATACTACCACAGAAACAAGATATCCTTTTATGGTAGTCGAGGTTTCAACTTTACTGCAGAAGGATCACAACATCATTGCTCCATTTCTATGCCAGTGAAAAATCACACAAATGTCCTACACTATCCCATTTGAACAAACAATTAGTCCTGGAAAAGCCAGAAGCATGTGCATGTAGTAAATGTATTAGGCGCTTACTAGAGGGGCAGCCACCAGAACAGCATTTGGTTATTCATGAAAGTAGTCACTCACGACAAGCTGGTAGTATACAAGCAAAATGACTGTATAAGACATATTGCCAGCCTGAACATAGACAGGCGAATCATTTTACGGCCTAGATGTGCATATCTTCAGTATATTTGTCTTTTCATAACTTAATTGTAGTCCAAACCTTAATGCTATGCTTGCTAAATTGTCTGTTTTCCTTTACATGTCATTGATGATTTTATCTAGCATTTATTTATCTTTCATTGGTATACATAGCATTCCAAAATTCCCCATGGTGATGTTCTGTGTAAAATATCAGAAGCCTTCTTTAAGTCAATGAAATTCAAAATAAGGCGTTGTTATTTTTCAATTATTAACTCTTAAATAGTTTCCCAGAGTGAATATTTGATCTAAGCAGCATCTTCCAGGTCTAAAGCCCTTGTTCCTCTCTGAGGATTTTGTCCACTGCCTATTTAATTCTACTGAGAATTATTTTTAAAAAACGTATTTGACATTATTGATGTCAAACTAAATTCCTCTCCAGTTGTTACAGTCAGTAAGATTATCTTTCTTTGAAATTTTAACAATTATTCCTATCTTTCACTGATCTGAGATTTTTTTTCCCTTTTGCCCATGCTGAAAGATAATCATAATTTAAAAAAAAAATTTAAAGCCTAAATTTTTATGTTAAAAACACATTTTAAAACAAAACCAAAGAAACAAAAATTAATACTAAGTGGGGTAAGGCAATTTCTTCCCAGGAGGGGATGACAGTTTCCTCATTCTCCCAGCTAAACTGTCAGATCTCTCATACTCACACATACCCACAAACCCCTCCCCCCTCCTCTCCCAAACCCCCACTCACCACCACCATTTTCCCTGTCTCCTGGTCCCTCCCTACAATTTGAAGTTAAGGTGGAAGAGTCATGTATTAAAGTGGTGGGAAACGGAAAAAATTGTTTTGGCTGTTTATGATTTCACTAGGCAGTTTTACGTTCAGCAGTTTGCCATTGCTGCCCTAATGTTCAGCTCATGGTACCAGTGTTGATACCAGTGCAAGGCGATCTGCTGCCTAACCACCCACAGACTTGATCGAACCTACCAGCACTTCAGAATTACGCCTAAGCCACAGATAAGGGCACCTGTTTTCTGTATTTGTCATTTTCGAAGAAACACATAATCTTTGTAGAAAACAGGATACTAGGATATGACTTTGTATATTAAGAAATGAAACAACTGGCATAGAACTAGACCTAGATAAATTTCGTGAACTGGAACAACATCACGGAAGTAAACAGAAATAGAAACAGCTGGTGTTTACAGTAAAGATCTTTGCAAGGAAGTCAAAGAAGTACAAATGTGTAGACATTCTGATTTCAAAACAGAAATAGTGCAGTAAGTTAATGTGATTTATTTCTTGGTAATAAATTAAAGCTACGTTTCCTATGTTAAACCTCTCCATGACATGTGTTTCCTATGTTAAACCTCTCCATGACATGTGTTTCCTATGTTAAACCTCTCCATGACATGTTTTTCCTTGTTATTTATTTCAGAAAATCCAAAGCCATTAGAGGTTCACATGTTCCTGTTTGATGACATTTTGCTTATTACCAAAGTCAAGAAAATCCCCAGAAAGGTAATTAATCCGTGATGTGAAACAAAGAAGGTACATCAGAAGTACAGTTTGTCATCCAGCATGGAACTAGCACCATAAGCCACGTGATGCTAATGTTTATGTTGAGGGAGAAATTTGAACACATTAAGAAAACCCGAGAACAATATAACTAGAATGTCTTTGCATTGGAACCCACAGGGGGCATATGAATAAAGGAAGGCTAAAAAACACACGAAGAAGGGAGCTGGAGAATGAAGTTAGAAAGATGGGAAGGACATGGGGAGAGCTGCATATGATAGCAAAGTATAGAACGACTTGGCGTGAGTTAGTTGAGGGTCTATGCTCCATTGGGGGCCAGAAAGGGTGAAGAAGAAGACATCACCCGCTGAGTCACCATTTACTCACAACAAATAGTCTCATCCCCAGGCTCTCAGATTTGTTCTTAATGCTAGGAAAGGATATTTTATACAAATGTGTCTGTGTGTGAATGCGTGTACGAGTTTGTGCGTGTGTGTATGTGTGCGTGCGTTTGTGTGTGTGTGTGTGTGTGCGTGTGTGTGTGTCAAGAAAAACTAATAAAAAGCATGGACAATAAATATGATGGTAAATACAAAACACTGACTCTATCAATCCCAAGCAGTTGCTGCTTTAACCTATTCCATTTCAAGGGGTTAAGCTCAAAGGCAATTAATATTTAGGTCCAAGTGAGAAGCAGAAACAGGGAGACATTAATATGCTGATTTAATTGATACAATAAATTAGATTTTAAAAAAAAAACAATATAACTTCTACAAATGACAGAAGACTACAAGAATATCAGTTTATCATTGGAATGACTAGTTTTTTTTTTTTTTTTAAAGACAAAAATCTGCCGTTACTAAAAATTATTGTTATTATTTTAGGGGGCTGCGTGGTTTCGAGGTGTGGCGTCCGCCTCGAGTGCTGGAGATCACGGGTTCAGGCGCCAGTGAAGTCTGATATTTTTCACGTGGACTTCTAGTAATTTCCACTGATCTCTGGGTAGTAAGATCGGGCGTCCATGCGTATTGTTAAGCACGTAAATCCCTTGGCAGTTAAATCGAAAAAAGTAGCCTAACGGCGCAGCCCAGGCGGGAAAAAAAGTTGACAAATCTATGAAAAGTATTTCAGGGTCCTCGCCGGTGCTACGGAATTCGTTCACTGCGCTGAGATTTTTCAGACTGAGACTAGAGTTAGAAGTAGAACGGAGCACTTGTGGATTACTTCCCTTGTGTCGTGATGTTGATCCGTTGTTTTAACCTAAACCATCTAGTAATTTAAAGCCTACAATGGGTCTGTGGAATCCACGTAGGGAATGCAAATATTTAAAACAGGTAAACTATTTTTTTTTTAATGGGGATTTGTCCATGTCACTGACATTCTACATCTTTGTGAATATTTCCGTCTGTATGTACTTGAACACATTTAAGCCAAATGCATAGCGTATGTCTTCTTGTATGACATGAGTGAAAGAATACCATTCAGGTTTTCAGAAACATTGCAGTTTTAAACTAATGCTGCTCGACGTGTTTTTCTACAGTCTAAACAGTCAAACACAGATACTCAGTCAGCAGCGCAGTCAGACAGGACTTCATACACAGTGCTCAGACAGCCGCTGGCACTTGACAGATTTACACTTCATGATATATCTACTTCTGATGCAGCAGGTAAACTATTCAGGGGCGCCGAAACATAGAAGTCATTGACAGGAGTTCGGGCCCCTTATAATATACATTGTGTAGAGGGTGCGGTGCTTAAGAGGCCCAAGCCTTGTTTAAGTGTATAATAATAACAAGTATTATGTTTAGGGGAATTAAAATTATTAAGGATGAAGGGTAAAAAATCATTGTAGAAATCAGGAGAATTGAGCGTCAGAGAAGAAGCATATGAAATACACGTGATAGCAACAACGGTCATTAAATCCCTTGCTCTTATTGAGAAAGACTGTTTTTAATGCGTTCAGGACTTGCTAGTCGCACTCGCCATCACCACGGGCTGTGAGTCCCATGCCTGCTGATAGCGTAATATAACACTCGCATTATTTTTATTATGTGCTGAATGGCAAATAAAGAATAATAATAATATATTTGAAATTATACAAAATGTATAAACAAGAACGTCTATTCATTTGTAGAAAAGGGGTTGGGGGGAGGGGGCGGATGCACTTAGTCCTCTTTCAAATTGTCTATGGGGGAAGATTGAACCGCCAGGTTTCTGGCACCCCTGTAACTACTGCTATTTACTTCACAGTATTTTGACATTATTTGGTTCGTTAATTTTTAATGAAGTGAGGATCCAGTTAAAAAGTGTTTATTAAAGGAAGTATCTGTAGCAGCCAGTGTGCCACAGAAACAGTCAGCACCTTAGGACATCCATGAATATGCACAGTATAACATGATGTAATCAGTAATCATTGTTTGGTCATACTTAATTCTTACATCATGAAGCAGTTCCCTTGCAAAAATGTGCCCTTTTGATTTCAATTCCGTCTCTTTCTTGTCCAAGCCTATATGGTGTTTTTCCCCACACTCTTTTACCTTTATATATATTTGTAGGAGCCTATGGTAATATTTGCTCTAGTTAATTGGCAGCTTTCTTCCCAATATGCTAGGCCTTTTTTTAAAAGCCCAATGCCGGTTGTGGCTGGAGATTGTACAATAACCTAAAGGTTGAAGGGGGTGTCTGGGACTTGCACCCTGGTGATTCTCATCCAAATGGTGACACTTTGTGTCACTGAGTGTTTCTCGCTCGATGTGCGGTCCTCATGTGGTTGAACGTCACTCTCACTCATTACATTTAACGATTGAAAACATCTACTGTAACTTATCAAATGATAGATATACAGTGTCATCATCTGCTGTAACTTATCAAATGATAGATATACAGTGTCATCATCTGCTGTAACTTATAAAATGATAGATAGTGTCATCATCTAATGTAAACTTATCAAATGATAGATATACAGTGTCATCATCTACTGTAACTTATCAAATGATAGATATACAGTGTCATCATCTACTGTAACTTATCAAATGATAGATATACAGTGTCATCATCTACTGTAACTTATCAAATGATAGATATACAGTGTCATCATCTACTGTAACTTATCAAATGATAGATATACAGTGTAATCATCTACAGTAACTTATCAAATGATAGATATACAGTGTCATCATCTACTGTAACTTATCAAATAATAGATATACAGTGTCATCATCTACTGTAACTTATCAAATGATATATATATACAGTGTAATCATCTACTGTGACTTATCAAATGATAGATATAGAGTGTCATCATCTACTGTAACTTATCAAATGATAGATATACAGTGTCATCATCCACTGTAACTTATCAAATAATAGATATACAGTGTCATCATCTACTGTAACTTATCAAATGATAGATATACAGTGTCATCATCCACTGTATACTGGCAGTTATCAAACTGGCAGTGCCAGTTATGACTTGTAATATTGCATTATTGCACTGCCAATATCTGCTGTCATCATCATCACATAGCTGGCCCTTTGCAGAGCGTCGCTGTCGTCACTATCTGCATGAAAGAAACTCAGTCTCCCGCCTGCAATCCCGCCTCTTGCATATTCAAGGAATCACTTATATCCTGTGCCCATCTTCGTGTTGGTCGGCCCCTACCTCTTCTTCCTGGTACCATACCTTCTGATATAAATTTTTCCAACCCGCGCTTGATTTAACCCAAATTTGTCAGCTTCCATGGCAAGATGCTGTTTCTTAGCCAGTATTCCTTGATGTTCAGATCTTTTAAAATGTCTGTTTTTCTTCTCTTCTTTGTTCATGTTATTCTGAGAAACTTTCTATGGCATTTCAGCTAAAAATCCTAAATTTTCTTTCTCAGGACTGGTAGATAGTGTAAATGGAAGATGCATGCTTTTAAAACTTTAATTGTGATTCCCTTGCTGGTGCTTAATCATAGACTTTTTGCGCTGGTAATCGTTGCATTGTTATGGCCATCCCTCTTGTGATTTCTGTCAAACAGTCTCCATTGCTATTTATTTTAGAACCTAGATACTCAAAGTTTGTGACAGCTAGTTTTGTCAGTGGCCAATATAGTGTTTGTGTTTATTGCTATAGTAAATGTAATGATTTGTAAAATTAATTTTCTTCATTGCTAGTATATGCTATTGATTGTAACGTTACTTTCTTCGTGTGTGCTTGTGTGTATATATATATATATATATATATATATATATATATATATATATATATATATATATATATATATATATATATATATATTATATATATATGTACATGTGTGTGTGTGTATGTGGGCGTACATAAAGTGATTTTTTTTTTCTTCAGCTAGTGGTTTGAAACACTGCTTCGCTCTTGTCCATGTGTCTCGATATCAGCAAATTACTGGCGTGTTTACATTGCAGGCAGCCTGTGACGCAACAAAGGTTAGTATTTTCCCTTAACCGAATTTTCTTTTTAAAATTTAAAAACCTGATTGTAGAATTCCGTTAGTGTTTAATGATGATTATCAATAGGCATTGTTAGTTAAGTTTGTATGTCTGAGAAAGGCTAGGAATAAAACCATAAGAGATTGTGTGACAACTGAGGAGATTTGAAAAACGGTGGAACAATACTCACTGTTGAATTCTTTGATAAGCAATGACTGAAATGTTTGAGGTTTGATGTCTGAACAACGGATCAACATTATTGCATAAGTGCTCCGTTTTTCTTCTAATTCAAGTCTGAGTCCGAAGAAGCTCAGCACAGTGCACAAGCTCTGTAGCACTGGCTAAGATCCTGAAATACTTTAGGTAGATTTTGAACACCAAATTTTGCCAGGGCAGCATCGTTAGGCTACTTTTTTCGATTTCCAACTGCCAAGGGATGTTTTTTTTTTTACATGCTCAGCAATGCACACGGGCTTCTCAGCTCACTACCCAGAAAACAGGGGGAATTACTAGAAGTCCAAGTCCACGTGAAAAAAATGCCAGCCTTTAACAAGCACCTCTAGCACTCGAGGCGGACACCATGCCTCGAGAGCGTGCAGCCCCCTAGACTGAAATGTTCAGCCGTCTAGTGGGAATAAATCCAGCGTCAGCTGGGGGAGTGTACGCCATACAAATGTAAACATCAACAGGTCGAGAGATCTAGAAAATAGATTCATGGCATCATCGATAGCCTAAGACTTAACAGCATCATCACAGCATAGCAAGCAACCAGGCAAGCCCTGAATCTGCGATCTATTATCGCCCAGCTCGCTAGCGTAGTTGGTTAAACCTGACTTCGCAGCGACCGGGTGACGAACTCCTTGTGGTCCGGCTTCGCGTCTGGGGGTACGCAGAAAAGGGACATTTCCTCCAGATTTACGGTATCTTTTATGGAATCAATGCCGAAGGGTTGCGATATCCTTAGTACCGTGCCAAAGAGTTTACAACTTAATGTTTCTGGATATAAACACAAAATAATAGTAATAATAATAAACTGCGATGCATAGTGGCACAGAGCAGATATTTACAAGAAGAAGAAAAAGTGTAGGTTTTTTACATATTTTTGTATGAGATCTGTATAGATCCCTGGAGGGGAGGGTCATCTCTAAAGCTACAGAGTTACATCCTTTATGGGACACTCTTGTGAAAACAAAGAAAGCCATGTTGAGTAATACCCAGCGCAGCGACTGTACAAGCCTGCAGCAATAAACCCCCAGGTTCACTTCCCCCCCCCCCCTGCCCCCTCCCTCCTCAGTCCTATACAGCCCTAAAAATGTGGTAAATATAGGCAGTAAAAACATGCTTATTGATAAAAACATTCATGGATACTTTTACTTGTATCTATGTATGTCTTTTTTTTTTTCCTCACATTGAGCTTTCTAATCTGCTCCTTCTTCTTAGCGTTCACGCGCTATAATCTCCAGCTTTGGTCTTCTGGCAGAACTTGAGTTTTGCGAGCACATTATTTTGCACATCTAGCTTATTTGTATGCAGACCGTTGGTTACTAACCTCTCAGGCATTGGCCTGAGGAAATACTCATAATTAGTCGTCTTCTACAACAAGCCTATTGGGGTGTGGGGGTGGGGGCAGTGAGTCTATCTCCTCTCCCAAACTGCAGCTTTCTTCTAATCATAATTAGAGCTATGTTCATTTAGTTCTTTTTCATTTATAGTTTCATTTGCAATCCCTCTTCTATTTTTTAAGCATTTGCAGTGAATAAGCCTTTAATTTTTTTCTAGAAATGCTGTTTTTCACGTTTATTTCCCATCATTTAGAATTTATGGATATCACAGATCAAAGAAGCAATGGATGCCTATGCCAAAGCTGCTAGCAGTCGCAACAATTCCTTTAAAGAGAACAAGAGTCCCAAACCTAAGGAGAAAGAATCAGCAAATTCTAACGAACGAAGAGACTTTTCATTTACATCACCACGGAAGGGAATGCAACACAGACGTAGTGAAAGCCTGAAGGGTGTGCCTACAAAATCCCGATCCATGGATGCTGTGTTTATTTAGTATTTGGAACCGACTTGAATTGCAACAGAGCTTCCCAAGCAAACCAGATGTGTTCTACAAGGAGCTAGTCATTTGTCATTTCCCAGTAATAAATGCATCTTAGTAAGCCATCCCAAACTGAAGACCTATGTCGAAGACATAACTGTCTGTAACACTGTGTGGGCTTTCTTTAAATAAAGACATGGGCATAAAATGAGTACCAGGAAATGTCCTATGAAATAAAGTTGGCCTGTCTGATACTGACTGTACAGCGATATTCTGTGCATAGATTATTCTGTTGATATGTCGTCCCAGGTCCATGCCGTATCAAGTCCAAATAACTTATTACTCTAGGGGTAACAAATGTCAAAACCAATGGCAGGCAGAAAAACGCCACCAGCCAGGGCAACTGTCGAAACTTCTACATTTGAGAACAAGTCGTTGACAGGCAATATCAATACGTTTTTTCAACAATTCTCCACAGATATAATGTGTGTCCATAAAAGGAATATGTTACAATCACTGTACTCAACGACGGTAGGATAATTCCTTTCCTCCAACATGGAGCTCAGAGACTTTGCTCTCCCGCGAACTGAGGCATCCGGACATATCAATACAAGCCTCTGCCCCTCCAACCTTTTCTTGTAACTGTCTTCTGTCCAATTCTTCTGTTAGCAAGTGACGTTGTGTCTCTCGTCATATCTCATGTTCATTAGCGGTCGTCAATAGTGTGAATCTTGGGATTGCACACATTACCTAACAAGTTTAGAATGGCCTTCACAAGCATGTCTGATGTGCCAGTGATGTAAGAACGCTGTGGTATTGTTTTTCTCTTTACTATAAAGTCTGTGGAATGTGATTTTTAACTCCTCCAGTACTAAGCCTGATCAACTGGTTTAGCCATGTAACAAGATTGACAAGAAATAGGGCACCACAGGGAGCAATGTTATACTGATATAGCAATAACAGAGCCATGGGTCGACCATGCAGAGGATGGAGCTTGGAAATGTCAGACACTGAGAAATACTATTGCGAAACGATAAGAATTGTCTGTTCCAAAAAACTCTTCCTGGTCTGATAAGCAGAAAAGAAGAGAAAAGAAGAGGTACAAGCAAGCACCGCCAATTTGTTGACTTTTACTATATGGTTTTTTTTTTTTTAACTCTTTATGCCCCATACAGTTATTACACCAACTAACTGTCCCTATTGTTACATTGCCATATTCTGTCTAATACTTCTTTTCTATTTTAATTTCTTTACATCGAAACATCTAATAGTCTAAGTGACAACTACAAGGCTATAAAGAGATACAGTAACATGTGTCTGGGACTGACAGATTTAAAACATTAGATTTGTGGTTACTATGGAAAGCAGGACATCTTTTCTGCAGGCTATGCCGGTGTGGTGGGGAATAAACAGACAGACAGATTGTTTTGATCTGCCCCGCTGGGGGGTGAATTGATACATGACAAGGCAGATGTGGTCAGAGCCCTTTGGAAACAAGCAACGAAGTCAGAAGAGAAACTAGATTATGATGGGCTTGAGAGAATGATGCACATGGGTGTGATCAGAGGGTTCGGCCGCCACACTACGCTCAGAGGAAAGGCAAGACGGAGGTACAACCAGACTATGACTGGCACCATTAGTATTGGGACTCTGCATTGGCTGCTGTGGATGGGGACAGGGCGCGTATTGGAATGCCTCAAGTGCTGTGATGTTACTTCTTGACTCAACTCAGTTCAGCTCAACTATGAAAAGCAGACTCAATGATTTGTGCATCAGGGCAAATAATAACTTTGTTGTTTCTAGACAGCCCTGTCTGATGCTCATAAATAACGAAACGCTGTTTGGGCACAACACATAAATATGTCCTTATGGACTGTAAAGGTCCCTTTACACGCGAGTGGCACATTGGGCACATGAAGCCTAAACTTATATTTACAGATCAATTAGCTCTCGATTGGTGATATGGTCAACATCATGCGTTTACTTTCCAGGCATTTAATTCCTACCAATTTAAGGCTGGGTAAACTTGGAAGTTTAGGTCATGTTTGAAAAAAATATGACTATGTGTGAATTTAATCGCATGACCTTCGGATTCACAGGTGAATAGCCTGCTACACCATAGCATTATGGACTATTTTCCTACTTGTTAGGCTGTGTCGGAGGTGAATGGGAGGAAATAAGGGGGGGGGGGGGGGGGGGGGGGGGGGGGGTCATTAGTTTGAGTATTTAGGGCTGCAGGCTAGTGCAGTCACCATGGACTGTGCAGGTGAGGATATTCATTCTTTGCTACAGACAGAAAAAACTTCCATCATCTTACCGAGGATTCGAACCTAGGTTTCCCACATGAGAGACCAGTGCACTAATCAGCTAATCGTTTCTGGTTGGGCACAAGCTTTATGAAAAATTATGTCCAAACTCCTGTCAAGTAAGAAAGGAAGTCAGGGCAATGGTGACCCCTGCCTGGTCGGGACTTCAGGCTACTTCCTAACCGTTGGGGTACCTCAGTATAACTTTACAGTAGAACAGGGTTTACCGAGATTTATACTTGTAGGATTCTCCTCCTTGAGGCGTTAATCCCGCAGACTGCAATCCTGGAGTGGACAAATTGCAACTGCTAGGGATCAGAAATAGATATTGCACATTAAACATTTCAAAGCTAGCAGTGTGCTGGATTGTAACCTAGTTATCACTGTTGTCTTGATAATGTTCTTGTCTGCTGTCTTCTTGAACAAGTAAATTTCTCAGTTTTTCTGTTGGTGCCACTATTTATACATTTATTTATTTATTTATTTTTTCAAGCTTGAGGTTTTTTTCCCTAATATTTCCAATTTCTTTGACTGCACTTAATTCATTGAAAACTGTAAATTCGAACATAATGTTTATATATTATTCAATTTCAAAAAATTGTTTAGTTCAGTTTTAGTTGCATTTGTTCATTATCCCAAACTATGAAAGGCTGACTGTAGTAACTGCCTGTTTGTGGATAGCCCATTTGTATATACTGCTTCTCACCAGTCAGTTATTGAAACAATATCCTGTTTCTAGCTTAAGTACGAGATTTCTTCAGAGGAAAAAAGAGTCAATGTTTATGTATGATGTAGGTCAGCAAGATTAGGTCGTATTTCATGGAAACAAAAGCTATCAAATACAGAGGTACTGAGGAAATTGGGAATGAAAAGAGAGTGGCTAGGTGAAATAAAAAAGAGACAAGTGAAATATTTTGGCTACATTAAAAGACATAACAGTATTGTAAAGATCATTCTAGAGGGAAAGGTTCAAGGTAGGCGAGCAAGAGGCAGACAGCGTTACAAGTGGGAAGATAACATCAAGAGATGGACGAACAACAGTATGAGTGAGTGTACATCAAGGGCAAGAGACAGGGCTTGGAGATCCATTGCAGCCAACCTTCATTGTGGAGACGGCACCTGATTGATTGATTGATTGAGGTCAGCAGCCTGAGTGTGAAATTAGGTAGGTGTGGTTTATGGAAGTGGGGGAGTAGATAAGTGGGTCCATTGCTGTCTCTGAGAATATTAAGTGGTAAGGTCTCTATCTCATCGGTAGCTTAACTTTTGTACCACTGTCTCTCGTACGCGTCAGCCCCTAGGGGTCATAGAGCTATGCCAATGGTTTAAGAAACCGCATCTGCTATAGCTATGCCGGAGTGGCAGTTCCTACCACATAGGCAACATAAAAACGTTGATGCTCAATTGTACTGTGACTAGTTGTTTCCCATTCGTTTTCTCTCTGTAGCTTCCTCACTTTAGGCGTTGCCCGGCTCTCTAGCGAAGTTGGTTAAACCGGACTTTCGCGGCGGCCGGGTGACGAACTCCTTGTGGTCCGGGTTCACTCCCGGGGGTAGGCAGAAAAGCCACATTTCTCCCAGATTAACGGTACCTATAATGGAATCAAGGCCGAAGGGTTGCGATATCCATAGTACCGAGCCAAAGGGTTTACAACTCATGGTTTCTGGATACGTAAAAAAAAAAAAAAATTTTTAATTTAAAAAAAAGGCGTCTTGCAAAATGTCACAGTCCGTCTTTCACTCACTGCCTCTATAGGAGTCGGTCTACGGATGATATCTCCTAAGTGTCTGTGCCAAAGTTAGCATCTTTGAGGTTATGATTGCATACGTCATTATAGGGTAGCTTTGGCCTTCCTGCAGGTCTTTTCCATATTTCCACTTCTCCATGGTGAACCGCAGCCCCAAAACTGGTCTTTTTCTGAATTCTCCTCTGCAGAAATCAAACTCTGGTGTTTAGAAGATTGAGAAACACATTTAAAAACTTGCAAGGAGAAGTTGGTTTATATGAAAACATTTTACAAACATGGATTCTGTATTGCTAAATATTAGGTATTGATTTCCACTGTACTACATTGTACAGCAACATCGTCTATATCTGATTTTTCCTTCTGCAAAATAAATTGTTATTGAAATGTTTTGTTTTAAACTGTATCCTAACATGTTCACCTAATCTGTGATTTACCTCTCCATAGATGTTGTCTTTGTTGTACTTCATGGTTTCTAAAATAAGTGGCACTATTTCTCCATTTTATTTATCAGAATGGACATGAGAACCTAAGGCATTTAGACCAGGACCCATAAATATTTTAGGGCCGAGTGAACCCTTAATTAGTTGAGGTGGGGAAGTGGGAGCGCTAAGCTCCCAACCAGCATGTCTAGAATTATTTAATTTGAAATTGTTGTTTATAATATCATGTTATTTTAAATAAATTATTTTATTTATTTACTATTTGAAATAATTTTTTTTTGGCCATTTCAGCACTTGATGATGATTATTATAATCTTATTTTTAAACATTTAAACAAAGTTTAGGCATCTTCATGCTCCCCTCTCACCCCTTTTTTTCACTTACATGTTTCTTTTTTATGGCGCCCCTGTCAAATATATTTCTCATATAACACTACACATAATGTTCAATATGTCATCACTCTTTAAAACACACTACCAATATACATGTTGCCTATGCGAAAATCATCCCTACATTTGTGTT